ACTTGTCGATTCAGAGTGTGTTCATTGTATTCAAATTTTTTTTCAATCTATGAATGCAAGAAAATAAGTAAATATACAGGCTGATAGAGAATTTCAAGCTCTATCGGAATATGTAATTGCTTTTTTTTAAAACGTAATTCGATAGTGATGAAAAATTTAAAAAACTAATTTTGACTCGAGTGACAAAATCAAGTCTGTGGAAATCTGGACATGAGGGTGCCTTTATTCCACTTGATTCATTTCTCGAGAGATAAAAACAAACTACAATCAAAATATAGAGTTTGATAGAGAATTCCAAGCGCTATCGAATGGTATAATTACTTTTCTCAAAATGTCCTTTTCGAGTGTCAAAAGAGCTGAAATACCGAGTGCAGCTTTTGCTTTCCAGGGGTATATATGTTGGAATGGGAACAAGATTATCTATGGAAGGTTAGTAAATTACTTGTTGCAATACCAACCAAATAAAACGATATATTCTTCTTGTTCCTATAGTTATATCGATGATATTTTTATGACAACAAATAAAACCATTGATGACATTAATATTGAACTTGAAAAAGCAAAACATAAAGATATTAATATTAAAATTGATCCGAAAATAGGTGCATCTATTCATTTTCTTGATGTAACTATTACCAATGAAAATGGTCGACTAAGAACATCAGTTTATCATAAAAACAACAGCTGAACCGTATATTCTACCATATACATCTGATCATCCACGTCATATACATCGAAATATTCCATATACAGCATTATTACGTGCAGCTCGTATTTGTTCAGATGTCACGGATTTTAATTTGGAATGTATTCGTATTGACATATCACTATTATTAAATCGTTATCCACCGCAATTTATTACTCAACAATTCGATCGATTTTTCAATCTAAACCACGCAATGCCTGTATTAAGTGAACTGCATGAAAAAATTTATTCTCGTTTACATCAAAAGTTATTGTATCAACCAACACGTCGTGAAAAACAACTTCAAACTATGATGAAAGATCCAGTAAGAACACCAGCTGTATTACAACCAAAGATATGGGACAGACAACTGATGTTTCCACGTTATTTATTTGATTCTGCATTGTCAATCAATTTCCGCCAAGAACTTAGCAAATGGCGGAAAGAAAACTACGCATTTCTCAGTTCGCCAGTTAAACATGTTAAAGTACGACTAGTTGCGAATACTAACCGGACGTTAGAAAAATTTTTTATACATAAAAAACCTACAAGAGAAATATTAACCAAAATAGAAACATAACCAACCCCAACTAGACACCATTATATGCACAAACAACAAAATGAACTCAATATTCCAGAAAAATGCCACGCACAACTTGTAGTGTTTCCTTTTTGCAAAACAAAATTTTTTCATTTGTAATATTTCATTTCTTTTTCTAAGAACTTCAGTATGAACCAAATAGGTTTCTCTCTTACCATGTATAAAAAAAATTTCTATTTCAGACTAAAATCCATGCCTACCATCCAAACAATCCAAATCATAATAACCACATCAACGCACTAAATTCAAAAACAACAAACCTATCAACGACTACTGAACCGATAAGCAAGCACGATAACGGTCGTCGTAAGTATCTTGGAATTATTCTTCTAAACTCACCTTTTATAAGAATTACTGCGATATTATGAACTTGATTTTAACACTATATCGTTGTTGGAAGTCTTCATTGACTTTCATACACTTTATTTTAAGTTAGGATTTAGTTTTATGCAGATATTTACATTCGAACTTACTCGTCAAGTGCCTTTAGCAAGCACGATAACGATCGTCGTAAGTAGCTTGGAATTATTCTTCTAAACTCACCCTCACCCACCCTCACCCTACAGATAGAAAACAGCAAAAAATATCACATATTGGTACTAAACATCTGTTCTTGAATATTGATTAGTTATATTGGAGCAAAAAAAATCGGTTTCGAATCGAGTATTGGGTCCCAAAAGTTTAGACCTGTAACATACTAAAGAAAGAAAAAAGCACCGAAAATATATTTGTATATAGCATTCGTGGATAATTGGACGGAAATTTTTGAATTTAAAAGAAAAGCTTCTAAAAACTTCTTATATCACAACTTCTCTTGTAACCATTTAATATACTGCTCATTTTCTTGTATCTCTTTTGCAGGATCTGGCTCATGATAAAATCCACGCTTGTGAAGATCAATCATAATCTCACACTGTTTGATACACTTCTTAACTCCAAGTTTTTCTCCTATTCGTTGTATGCCTGCTTTGTCATTTCGAACATCTTGAGGTTCTACAATAACCCAATGAAATGCGGACGTGTCTACTCCCCAAACAAATCCATTTGTATTTTCAACACGTAGAGCAAAAAAACAATTCTTCTCTCCATTAGCGCCTGGAAATATTGTGACTTGGACAGGCTGGTCAAACGTATGCCACGACCCATCGAGCGGTCCCGAATCTTTTCCGTTCTCCAGTGATTTGTGAAAAATACCGTGTTGACATTCTGCTTCTGTCTTAGCAAGCCAATTCAAATTATCGTCTAAGACTGCCGTCCAAGCCCATCTCTCTCCATCATTTAGAACTGTGGCGGCGACAGGAACTTCCTTTTGGTAGTAAACTTGCTCTTTTTCTAAGATTTGCTCTGAACGAGGAATTCCGCTCCATGAACCAAACCAGTACTCGCCTGCTGGGAATTGGACGATCGTCGTATCGTTCATGCGAATAGCTATAAACACAAACCAAGCAAGAAGAAAGAGTAGGCGGACGGACAAAGAGGACGTTTTTTCTAATATGAGCAGCATACAAATACGAAAACTAACACTTTTATGATTCTCTGTCGATTGAATACTGAAAACCAATAGACAATAGCTTTTTATATGTACCATCATGGGTACGGGTGATATGTAGGTTAAAGTAATGCGGGTCGGGTCGGGTACGGGTACGGGTCGGGTACGGGTACGGGTCGGGTGCGGGTACGAACTTGACCGGTACGGGTACAAAGTTGACGGGTACGGGCATGAACGATACGGGTACGGGTAGGATACGGGTAGAAAATTTTTGTACGGGTCGGGTACGGGTATAAAAAATTGTACCCGTGCAGTACTCTATTTTAAACGATCACTTTCACGTACTAATAAACACAAAAGCACAGTTACATATGACTACGTAATTTACAAATCGACAGGAAAGAGAAGAAAAGCCATTAAACACACGCTTACACGACGAATATTCTTTTTCCTTTCTTTTTTCACATATATATTCGGAGTCGTATATATGACTAGCTAGACAGTTCAGTTTGATTTGAAAAAGTGAGACATAGATATGTATAAAATAATTATTTTCGAAATGATCAATTAATTTACATGTTAATAAAAAGACATGAAATCAATTCATCACTTTTTTTAAATAATAAGTACCATGGAATTTTGTTCATTTTTATAGAGCATACATTCATTGAAATATGTTATATCTATGTGGAAAATAAGCTAGATACTTCAAAACCTACTAGAAGTTGTCTTTTTTCGCGAGAAAAAAATGTTTATAATGATTTTTTCCCTAAAATAGTGGTCATTTCTGAATATGGGAATACGAATATAGAACTAATATTTTTAAATAAAATAGTGGTCAGTTGGTCAACATTGTAAGGCACTTTTCGACACCATTCTAAGGTTTTTTTTAAACTTTTTTTTTTACCATTTTGTGGAGGAGGAAAAGTTGTACAACATATGTGAAATTCAGCGTGGACACTTTTAAAATGGTTAAATGGCAGCTAATATACTACAAAAACTAACATATTTTTCATTCAAAAAATCCTCAACCTCAGACAGTATTTCGGAAATAACTTTCGATCAGCATATTGAAATATAGTTTGTAAATAGGCAATTTTGTTCAGCTTTCGGTGCTCTATCTTTTGGTATATTACACGAAAAATTTTATTAAATTAATGTCACTGAAAAAATCTCCACTTTATACGAACGATTTTTGATGATATTTTTCAAATATCATTGTGAGTGCTCGAAAAGTCGAATCAGGCTAATTTTTCACCAGCTCAACCAAATGCGCTAAAAATTTGGATTTAGAGGTTTTCGATGATGCTGAACAAAATGAGAATGTGAAAGAAAAAAATTTTTTTTGACGAGTGCTCCGATATCTAGCACGATTCTCGATGGGCTCATGGAGGCTCTCTTAAACTTTGGGCTGTGCTGAGTGATGCAAGAAAACTCATTCAGTCTCTCTTATATTAATAGTCTTTCTATATCAATGACTGATAAAGCGTCAGTCTTTTGCCCTTATTTCCGCACATCTGTACAAGTGAGACAAAAAGCATCGTGAACCTCGGTCTGTATATGATTGTTTGTTCTAGTTCTTAAAATGAAAGTTTCTTACAGACAAAACCATGTACTTGCTGTGAGTGTTGCACGAGATTCATAAAAGACACAAGACAAGAAGGGCTGGCCTTATACAATCAGCCCAACGACAGATTCTTTTTCGGAGAAAAAATCCTCAAGGACGAAGAAAATAGCTATTCGTACTCAAGTATTGAAAGAAGTACTGCGGGCATTGTTATTTACTCACATCACGCCATACTCTCGATGCAGTCTCTGTTATTTTGTTGTGAAGAAAGAACGAAAAGAGTCTATTATCATCTTATCTCGTGGGCATGTGACGTTAGAACAGAACGCAAAAAAGTTCCCAAGGTCGAGCAAAATAGTACATGATTATGTGGCTAACAACGGTTATTTCATGTAACGTTAGCACTATTTCAAAATGTTGAAAACGGACGTAATATGTATTTCTTGATTATGTGATCGATAGATGAACTAGGAAAAAAGATAGCATCCGCGATTTTTACAAACTTGAAGCCAAAACTCCACAGCAAGTACTCTTCACGGCGGATTTGGTCCGTATGTAGTTTTGGTTTCGATTGAAGTTCATGTACTAGTCGGAGTTCCGAGCGATCTGGCTCATCCTTTTCTGTCCGAGCGTCGAGCGGGATCAGCAGGACTCATGAATTGCCTGGGACACAGGCAAGCCAAACAAAAATATTGACTCGGGTTTGAACTCAAAATTAGAAATATTTATATTCTTCATTACTGTACAGTTCTTTTGATCCTATTACGTGTACCAATACAAGTTTCACGGGGGCCAACCTGTATTTTCAAATTAAATTAGATAAAACTTTTTTTACGTCGAAAATAGTTGCAAGTAAAATTAGTACACGTTGATACTATTCTTCTTCATTGCGTTAATTCTTCAGGCAAAGATATTGTGCACTGGTGTTGAATTAGTCGTCATTATTCGTGACTGGTACTCACGTTCTTGAAGTAGTAGACCGAATTTAATAGCGATAAATCTCTATGTATGGAGCAACGATTCATTTCTGCGGACTCAACCGTCGCGGAGCACCGTTCTTCAATAAATTCGCATATGATTCCCGCTATGTTGTAACTCGGTCTATTTGAAATCTTCTCCAGGAACGTAGAAAGTTGAGAAGTCATTTGCACTTTTTTTTACAAACGTTTTCGTTTCACGAAAGAAGTTTTCCACACTCTCTCCGCTGGAAAGTTTTCTAAGATCTATTTTGACTTAACAATCAAAAACTTATTGTTCTTATCTGCAGTTTATTGAGTAATAGATGGTCTCTTGCAATCTCTCGTTCATCTTTCAGTGTAATACGTAGCAGCGAAGCTACCTTCTACAGCTGTTTATAAAAACCGAAATATATTTGTATTCCGTTCCTTAATCAAGCAACTTTCTACCTTTATATACCATAATTTTTGCGTAACAGGTTTAGAAACTGTCTCAAAAAGATACCGCCTTCGGCGACATGATGGTCTGTGATAGATATTGAACTAATAGTACTAATGTGATTGCTTTCCACCCCAAAGTGTGGATTTCAGCAAGCGAAAATAAGTTTTGCTCCGCCCGAATTTGAGACTCAGACTCGTCTTTGGAATTCTCAAACTGGAAATTGATCTTCAATGGGCTTTGGTTCCAATTAATTTTTTCTTCTCTACAACCACATAGTTTTCACAGTCCACGGAGTTAAAAAGGTGAGAATGATGAAGCGATTTCGTCAGCGAGCACACAATTATACAAGCAGATTACCTTCAGCATTTGGCTCCTTTTTAATACGATCTAGATGGCTAGTAGTTTTGGTACCAGGCTAAAGTAGCTATAATACATCTGTCATACATCATCTCCAGACTGATGTTGGGTCAACTTTTTCCTTAAACACATCAGTTCTTATTTATGAACGTGATTTAAAAACTTCTGACACGTTGGTCTGGTAACAGCAAGGCGCATTTAAAACCTAGCGTAAATCATGTAAATTTCGATGAGAAATAGAGAAACAGGCCAAAGTTCTTGGAAAAACCGACGTTACAGATCAACGAATTGATTCGTCGTTACTTTCGGTCAATGCCTGTTTTTTTATCAATTTGTCTCAGCTTTTCCTCCGTGCTCTATAATGACCATGAAGGACAGATCCTAAGAGGTAAATTACAGAGACTAAGGGTGAGAATTGATACTATGATCAGGATTTTACCTCTGCTAGGAGAATCATCAGATTTTAATCAAAGTAGATTCAATATTCATATGCTAGGGTGAGAACAAAAATTAGCCCAGTATCAACGAGTTCACAATGGACTCCACGATTGGTATGTGAAATCTAAGCAGATTGATTGAATGAATTCCTTTCAGTTTCGATTTTTGCAGATATTGATGTTCTCACGACAGCAAGTTTGACCATAAATCAAATCAAAACTAAATTATTGGATGCCCCCAGGTCGAAGATTCCGGCCTCCGGAAACGGTCAGGAACCGGCCGGAAACGGTGTTTTTCCCGGAGAAATCCGGCCGTTTCCATACGGGAAAATGACCGGAACCGGCCGGAAAAAACATGGATCAGGGGAGCAGTATTTCGGGCCGGAAGCCACCGTATTGGAAACGGTGCATTCCAAACATTTCCGCCGACCGGAAAAAACTCGGATAGACAGCGTATCCGGCCGGAAAAAAACAAGAAATCAATAGCAATTGTTTGTAAAACAAACCGGATCCTTCCGAAACTACACCGGAATTACCTCGTGAAGAGCCGAAATAGAGAGGAAAATACACCGTTTCTCGCATCAACATCTAAAAGACTTTTTCTCAATAATAAATTCCCCGCATTGAAAAAGACCATTTGGAGAATGTCTCAATGCATCCTAATAATGAACCGCAAAAATACTTTAGAATCAGGTCAAAGGCTCAACAATGTCTTTTTCATACTAAAAAGCCTCATTGAGACTTCTCAATGATACGATCTAATGAATAGTAATCATACCTCCGATATAAGGTAAAATTCTCATTGAGGCTTCTCAATGCTCTAAACTAACTAACTAAGACTAATAATACCCTCCATAGGAGGTAAAGCTCTCATTCAGACTTTCAAATTGGCTAACCGACTATGTAGACCTAATGTCTGAAGAACTAGATAAATCTATTATGTTGAAGTTCAGCGTGAAGCTTAAAAGACAAAATTTTCCCTGAAATACATATATCATACCGAAAAAGGTATGAAAATGTGCATGCTAAATACATGGAACTGACCCGCTTATATAGACTGACATGTATGAAACAAAACGGTAAATGGGTAGTTAACTTAAAGCCTTACTGAGACATCTCAAAACTACAAAGGATTTTTTCGAGAAAATTTATTCTATTTGTGAACATTAGGT